CTCAGTTTATGTTGAACGGCACAAACGGAATCTCATGTTTACGAGCACGAAATACGTAAGCCGTGTTTCGTCATGGCTAGCGCTGCGGCTCAGCCGTGCCGCGCTTGTACCGCTAAAACATGACGATCTACTAGCGAGATCAACTTACCCGTTAGTCACATCGCATAGGAACAAATCCACTCTATAAACTCGCTTGCATTCTGGTTTATGACGTATTGGTCGCCGAGCCCGGCGATAAAATGCCATTTCCGCGTTAATAATCAATCATGGACCCCGAACGGCCGTTTTAGGGTCCCGATTAAAACCGACTAGGATATTTGGGATGCATGGGGACATAGCTGGGGTCCGTCGGCTCATAGGGCTGAAGTAGATCCACTAATGTGTAAAACATGCTTAAATTTTGAAGTAATTTCGCCTAATGATGACCAGCTTATGTAGGCCTTTATTAGCTATTCTCGAAGGAAATAGAAGGGAAATAGCCGCGTTGAGATTACAGCGTTTAGTATTTGCTTATTATTATTAATCTAGGTTAAGCGCCTTTACGCCACATCAATACAGCAAGTCTTCCAAGGGCCGAGACCTTTTGTGGTAACCCGGCATATGAAATCCACCTTGAAATGTGGAGTTTACCGATAATCGCTTAGGCGTACCCCCTGTAAGGAGGCGGGGGTGGGGATCAGGGGCAGTTCGTGATGCGGAACTATGTAAGGATTTAAATACGAAATATGATACATTACTTTAAAGTGCTTACACCCAATGTTATATTGTATTATAATTAACATAATCATAATTGATAGCTTTAAGACAGGTAAAATTTCTCATATGTAACTATTCAAAGAACGTAGTTAAGAAACCAAAAGAAGACGTTACATTGCTGTATATTTTAAGTACCTAGTCTATTGTAAATCATCGCTAACCTCTATCCCGCCATGCCAGCATGGACTAGGTAAATCTATAGCTCCCCAACTCCTACTCCTAGCTTTAATCCTAGCTCTAAACCCAGCTCCTATTTTCCCTCGTAGATTCGGTAGTTATTCATTCCTGACATGAATAGGTTCCATATAGTTATCCCTTAAACCAGCATAATATTTCTCGACGTGACGTAGATCGCTTTCACCGGGAACTTAGTTTTGATAGCATGAACAACATGATCGTTCGAAACATCTATAACAGGTAGTCTGCTGCTTGATGACCGACTTGCAAACCGAATTGCCGGGGTAGAGAAGGTAACATGCACCCCATCGCTAGAGTTTCTGTCGCCTTCTGGAATGTTGATTCTCTGTCGCATCTTGCCGGACCTGAGATCAACTTCAGCAATAAAGTCGTCGGTGGTGGTCCTCTCTCCGCGTCTTCTCCTCTGAGTTGGTTCGAAGCTGGTGACTATTCTAGACTCGAGGTCGATCCAAATAGCTCCTCCGTCGACGTAGACGTGGATATAAGTACATGATGCATCTAGTTCCATGCAGTGTGGCCCTACATAAGGGCCAATATCGATTGAACTCATAATTTCACCAGTTGAAATGTCAAAAATAAGAATTTCGTTAGACATCTCAATAGGCGCAAAGCTATGACCCTGTCGGTGTCGCTGACTAATGTATACTTTGATAATGATTGTTAGCAATAGCTCTATCCTATGAAAGGTCTTAAGGGGCCTAGCAATAACCCGAAGCAGAAAAGGGGGGAAAGTATCTTGATACTACTTACAAAGGTTCCGGCTCCAATCGTGGACAATCTCTTGCGGCTCTGCGAGGAGGTCGTCAAGAATGTAGACGCGATATGAAACTGCAATATCTGCAAATGTGCATGGCTGGCTCTCTGAGTGACTCATGTTGGAGCTGGTTTCGGACTCTGAAGATTTTTTTGAGTTGTTATTGTTGGTAGCGAAGAGACCTCGAGGGCGATCTGTACTTGGACGAGCTTGGATGATTCCAGTGTCTGACTTGACATCTTTCAATAGTGCCATGTCGGCGGGCGTCCTCGAGAAACTTATAGGGTTCTGAAGTGGCTATTCTTGAGAAGCCCTCCGGTATTACCTTTTCTCGTGTTGGTCGAAGGAACGTGCCGTAGAGAAAGACGGGTCACTGATTCACATCACGGAGAAGAATTTCTCTCTTACTTCGTCCACTCCGCCAGAGAATGATGAGGAAGGAAGAATAAGAGAAGGAATCCACCTGCTACGCCATCTCGATTTCCTATCATAGGACCTCCCGGCCGAAGTTAAGCCTCGCGGCTACGACGTGCATCGTACTGCCACGTGCCTAGCCGCCGTTTTCCAGAACGCCGGTAGTCTTCTCGTCCCGGTGATCATGGCTCCTGGAATAGTTTGTTAGGTCCTAGCTCCATACTTAGCCCGCCAATCATAATCCTGCGTATCCATGCATCTCGTAATTGGTAGCCAATCAAAATGTCTTGAAGCCGAACGCCGCTTCGAAACATCAACCAAATCGAGCCGACCAGTAGGATTCGGGGAGTTTCAAAACAGGATCCGAATAGGCACCATTTAAAGCGTAAAACCACTGAAATGGGAACTTAGATTCAGAGATCCCACCTAGCCAAAAGGGGACATTAATGTATGTCTTGGAAGAGCCATTTGCCCCACCCCGACCAAGCTCGGGGATAAAACAGATAGACTGTTTTTTGTCCTTATTGACTACGTTGCATCCGGAGTAAAATTACCTTAGGTAATGGATTGTGGGAACTACATTATTTCAAAACGCCCATCTCTCTGAGCCTCATGATTCATAAACCATGCACGCACAGTTGCTGAACTGTCGAAATTACCAGGTAGAGGAATGCTATTAAACTCTTGTTAATTCGGAAGTTTCTAACGAGAGATATAAATCGGGAATACGAAGAGAAATGATGCCATAGTTCACCGCTCCGGAAAACAACGTCGCGAACCCCCGAAGAGCAAGCTCCCCATCCTAAAATATGAGACATGACTACCTATCCAGAGGACAGGTAAAAGTTGACGTAGAAGGATCGTGAGATTCTTCGTATTCAATACAATAGAGGCAGGGTAGTTCTCAAGCTTCTGAAGTGTGTTCAATTTTATTTTTAAAATGCATAGCGTTGATGACACCATTCGTATGTCTGTGCCATCTAGAAATATAGACTTTCAGTGTTTGTTAAAAATCGAAACACTACACATAGATAAATCCTTAATCACGGTTAACTGGATCCTTCGCATTTAACCGCCTCATACGCAAACAGGGGGCTCTTAAGTCCTATATGTTTACCAACCTTCAACTTTACTGGGTATCTAGGTAGGCAATAATTCCTTGCGGGCACGGAAAGGAACCGAGATATACGGTATATAAATGTAATTTGTATCATGTCAGGCGCTTCAGAGGCAAAAATTATGGGCTGTGTCATGAAGTGGAACCAAACAGTATAGAAATAACTTCGTTATTCCGCATATAACTCTAACCTAACTACGAGTCTACGTCTGGGCATACTGAACATGTCCTTTATTCTAGATGTCTCATCTAGAGTCCTAACAGGCTGGGAGATAATTAGAGCTCAAGTCCTATGCTTCCTTCCAAGCCGGTTACACATAGATATCTTTCCGATATGCTTTCTCTTCTAATAACACCTACTTGCAACATCGTATAATTGACTGCGCGACTTCATAACTATTTGTATAGTTACCATACTATCACGGAGCTAGCCTCAGTAACTTGGCTCGTTGTATTGCATAATGAGCTAAGCCATTATATTAAGCGATATATAAACCGTACGTAGCGAAAATCGCTTCAAGTTCCTGAATTACCTAATACTGTTATACACTTATATATCATACTACGTGAGTCATGTATTGTCGTACGAGTCTTATTTTAGGCACCCAATGCCTGAGTCATTATGCTCACATCCTTTTGCTCACTTATCTCTCATTCTTATATTTAAACTAGTTAATCGTAAACTCTCGTAATTTATTTTATAGGCAACAGTCTTCTGTAAGGGCTGTTCATTTTCTACGAGACTTATCCTTCGTGAATAGGTTACCTCAGTTATATATAGTAATTTCTTTTGACTCCAAGAATAGCTCCCTACTAGACTGGTCTTAATATAGTATAGTGACGTGCGTAGGAGATTTGCCCTATGAGCTCTATGAAATGTTTTTGGTGGAAAATAGAAATTTCTTATCGGGGTTAGTAGTAGCATACGAAATTATTCTACATAATACTTTAGGTTCTTGCTTTTGTTAAGGGCAGCATCTGAAGAGAGTTTTGCATGTAGAAACGCGAATCACGTAGCCCTATGATAATGCATAGAATAGAAATATTGCGTGAATTATTTATCTGGTCATCTAGTACGGTTAATTGTAGTTGGACGCCTTGGATATATACCCCTTAGGTAATGACTATATATAAAGTGAGGTCATCGTTACCATGTGAAATCAAGGTCTTTCTAAGCAAATTTATGTGGATTTGATCCCAAATATGCAAAAGGCATCTAGATACCAACATCCATATAAGAGGTACTTATATCTTGCCATATACAATTCATCTAGGTACTCGTCTTGTTTTATGAGGCACGTTAGGTACATGGTACGTGAGGCAGTTACGCCAATGGTAAAGCAGGTACACTTAGCATCACACCGCGTACCTGCCTAATAAACTTCCTGCCTAAGGCAAGTGCAGGAAGGTACTTAACATGCCCACAAGATAGTTGAACCCTTATGAGGTACCTACCTTTTTAAATATCAGTTGTTTCCTTTCCTTCATCAAATGCATTTCTGCTTAGAGTTTTGAAAGGGTTCCAACATGGAATTTGTTTACCTTTTCGACACTCAATAACCTCCCCTTTCAACCATCATGTTCCATCTTTCTACAAGCATGCATCTTCTCTCCTGTAGTATCTTCTAGGCACCCTAAATAGTCTATTTTACCTTAAGGAATCGTGTTTGGTTCAAGGTCTAAGGGTCTAACATTAACCTTCTCTTGTGATCGTCATCTGTCAAGAAACCCAATATTTTGTTGCCAAGTGTTAGAGTTGGCATGGCGCCTTCGGGCATGTAAGTTGCCTTGTTTATTTACCTCCTATTTAGTAGGTTCCATGCTAATTCCTATAGACATCATCCGGCCCAATGCCGCTATGCCAACAAACCTGGTGGTTGCAAGCGCGGGGCCTCCTGTAAATTCTCGCATTCTGCACAAGACTCCCCTAGTGTCCAAAGTTCGAATACCCGCGCCGATATTACCATGTCGACATCTCGAGATGCAAATTATGAGGCTTCCTTTCATAAGTGGCGAAGAATGATCCCGAAGGCTTATGAGGGTAAGCCTTCAGCTTTTGGCTTTAAACTGCCTCAATTCTTTCAGATCGCTCGTGATTTAGTCCATGGCGACCTTGACGTGCTCCAAAAGACGATAACCGAGCTTGCGACGGATCCAGGAGTACTAGCAGTGCGAGAAATGATCGACGAGCAGATTCAATTTTGCAATACCGATGTCAAACGTATAACTCTCTGGCGTACTTGCGTTCTACCCTTTTTTCAAACACTCACTGAGCAACGAGTAAGCCATTCAGCCATCTTAGAAACGCATACAGGGACTATTTACAATGTTATTTTCGGCCATGATGCTTCTCGCCTGAGAATTCTCTTCGACTTCTTGATCGAACTCGCCGAAAAATGGACATCGCCGCTTATTAAAGACGATGACGGATCAAAAGATCAATTCCTGGAACTTTGTTCTGCAATATTAGCCAAGGCGATCAGTTACAACTCTCAAGCACTCGTGAACGAGAAAGTCCCGCCAATTGTTGGTCGAATATTGAAACTTGTTGATGGCATTGAACAGAGTGGTCGTAGCTTTTGGACCTTACAAGCGAAGAACCATCTCGAGTATATACAACGTCGTCTCGGCGTCATCAAAGAAGCCGCACAGGATGACACCCCAAAGCCCCAACCCCTTGGACATGCCAAGTTTGTGTTACGTCGGGATCTTCCTGGAAATTTGTCCCCAGAAGGTCCACGTCACGATAATGATCATGAGGATATAACCAAGATTCGGATTCTACCGACAATGTCAGAGATCATGTCCACCCGTTCAGATTACCGGCCGTTCCAAGATCCCTCACAACTACATTTGCCAGGGATCCAAGGATTAATTGACCGCCACTTCCGACTTCTTCGTGATGATATGGTTGGTCAGCTAAAAGACTGTATTAGCGAAGAGTTACGCCTTCTTGACCGTCCAGAGACCAAGGCTATCGTTTCCAATCCACAGAGTCGTATCCGGACAAACTCATATAATATCGTAGATATTATTGACATTAAATGCACACGCCGATGCGGATTGGAGTTTCATTTGAAAATCGACCAGCCATTTTCTACAGGAAGATTGGCAAGCGATGCACGAGCGGATTGGTGGAACCTATCGAGACGTTTAGAGGCAGGCGCTTTAGTGTGTCTCCTGGAAAAGGATACCGCCGTCTTTTGTGTGGTAGCCGAGTCTACCTTGAGACCAGATCCAACGCGCGTGCATACACAAAATACGAATAAGAATAGCACCGAGAAACGTGATCTTCACAGCAATAAGGATTTTGCATACGTGAATCTCAACTTAGCTGAACCGAATGAAGTCGATCTCAAGATTATGTTGTCGGCATCGCAGTCCAATGAACCTGTCAGGAGATCCTTAGTGGAATTTCCTGGGATCCTTCTACCCTCATTCAAGCCTACTCTATCAGCCCTCCAACAGATATTTAGGACTCTGGATCTCCCATTTGCCGAGTTACTTGCATCTAGTGCCGATGGGCCGACCGAAGTCAACATCCCACCTCCCCTATATGCAACGAAGTCTGGATTTGTTTTTAATCTGAGCTGTCTTACATCGGATGGAAACGAATTAAAATTTCCCCCCGAGGGCCCCATAAATCCTGAGGAGCTCTGTAGCAGATCAAGTTTAGATGAAGGCCAGGCTACAGCCCTTCTGAACTCGTTAAAAAGAAGCCTAGCACTCATCCAGGGACCTCCAGGCACAGGAAAAAGCTATACTGGAGAGGTAAGTAAATACCCAAATTCCAGACCCCTTCCTCCTATTCCAGTATAACAGAATAGCATGTTCAAAAATTCAATTTGCCGAAATATATAACGTGAGAATTAACCAGAATATGTACAGGCGATTATCAAAGTCCTTCTAGCAAACAAGGAGCAGGCTAGCATAGGTCCAATACTATGTGTCTGTTACACCAATCACGCTTTAGATCAACTCCTCGAACATCTCTTCAATGGCGGAGTAGAGCAGATTATTCGCATTGGCTCAAGATCGAAATCGGCTGTTCTTACCAATCTAAACTTGCGTACTGTGGGGATGGATATGGAGCGCACAAAATCGGAGAGGAATGCTTCATGGAAGTCGGCTGCAGGTTTAAAAAGGGCAGAGAACGAGATGAAAACATATCTAACAGAGCTAAAAGCCTCGACAATCCATAAGAAAATCAAGGAGCACATCAAGACCAATGAATCGCCCTTCTATGATGCCATATTTGGCATCGTAGACGAAGACTGGACGAAGGTTTCCCGTAAGGGCGACCTACCTTACTTCCTCGACTGGGTGAATGCAGGTTCCGTGTCAGCGAATTCAGTCGAAGATGTTGACACACTGAAAAAGCAGGGTCCAACGGTCTTAAGCCAGCAGGAAAGGTTTGCGCTTTTCAAATCCTGGGGTTCTGTAGTAGCTGCCGACTTAGGAGATGAATTTGTCTCTCTTCACTATGACTATCAAGAAGCGAAGAGAGAACATGACACTGTGCGCCGTGAGGTAGATCTTCGTGTTCTACAACAAGCCGATATCATTGGCGTCACAACAACTGGTTTGGCCAAGAATTTAGATCTGCTCCGAAAACTTGACAGCAAAGTCTTACTTTGTGAGGAGGCCGGCGAAGTCCTAGAGAGTCACATTCTCACAGCATTACTCCCGTCTGTGCAGCACGCTATTCTCATCGGAGATCATCTCCAACTACGCCCCCAAGTTTCAGACTATGATCTTTCTGCTGTAAATCCACGTGGACAGCAATATTCGTTAGATGTGTCACTTTTTGAGAGACTTGTTCAGCCACCACGACCCACAGACTTGAAATTGCCGTTCGATATGCTCGAAATACAAAGGAGAATGCATCCATCGATATCGAGACTAATTCGAGATACCATATATGAGACTCTTAAAGATGATGAGAAAGTCAATAACTATCCCGAAGTGGTCGGCATGAGAAAACGGCTATTTTGGTTCGACCATGATAAACCGGAAGCGCGATCAGATCCGAACTTCCCTACTAATACATCTCGGACAAACGATTTCGAAATCGAAGTTGTTTCCGCTCTCGTCTCCCATCTTGTACGCCAAGGAACGTACGGACGTGATGATATTGCTATCTTGACGCCTTACCTAGGCCAATTGCACAAGCTAAGAAAGAAGCTTCAAAGCTCATTCGAGCTTGTTGTCGAGGCTCGAGACCTCGAGAGCCTTCAAAAGGAAGGTTTAGATACCCCAATAGAGGCACATAAGCAAGCGTTGGGGAAATGCATACGGCTTGCGACCGTTGATAACTTTCAAGGTGAAGAAGCGAAAGTAATTGTTATTTCTCTAGTTCGAAGTAACTCGGAACGACAATGCGGATTCTTGAAGACTGCAAACAGGATTAACGTACTCCTCTCGCGAGCACAGCATGGAATGTATATCATTGGAAATTCCACAACTTATGGCGAGGTTGAGATGTGGTCAAAAGTTATTTCCATGTTAAACAAAAGCGGGTGCATCGGCACTAAACTGCCACTACAATGCCCAAGACACAAGCATACATCCATCGAAGTATCAGAACCTGATGATTTTATGCGATTGTCTCCAGAAGCTGGATGCAATCTTCAATGTTCTGAGAACCTTGACTGTGGTCACATTTGCCGTAGCAAATGTCACGCAAAGCCCTTGCATAGGGCAGTAAAATGTCCGGAACCATGCCTACGGCTAAAGACCTGTGGCCATAGTTGCCCTAGGCTTTGTGGAGATAACTGTGAAGAAAGGTGCTCTACTATACTCGAGGGGCACAAGGTTTCTCTTCCTTGTGGTCACACACTGACCTCACCTCGATGTTGGCAAGTTGAGCACCCAGACGAGGTCAGATGTATTACACGTGTAGAGAAAGATGTGCCGGGTTGCGGTCATCATGTTGATGTTCCCTGTTCTAAAGACATCACCGAGGATAGTTTTGTCTGCCCGGCACGATGTGGCCAACCTCTTCCCTGCGGACATGCCTGCAAAGATTCATGCAAAGTTTGCAAGACTCGTGGTGGGACTCCTTCACCATGCACATCAATCTGTGGTCGAAGCTACAGTACTTGCAAACACTCATGCGTCGATCAATGTCACCCAGGTGAGAACTGTGCTCCTTGCAGTATGCCTTGCGACAAACGGTGCACCCACACAGCATGTTCTAAACTATGCTCCGAGCCTTGTATCCCTTGCACGTTACCGTGCACATCTAGCTGTGTGCATAGCCAATGCTCTATGCCGTAAGTTTGCTATATGAAGCGATTATCTGGTTATATGTTTACTAAATACCTATTCTTGACAGGTGCTCTGCGCCATGCAATTGGACGACATGTTCCAACCGTTGCACCCAGCGCTTACTTTGCGGTCACCAGTGTAAGAACATATCATCTTTTTGTGGGACATACAGATCTGATTAGAGTATCTAGGTCCATCTCTTTGTGGCGAAACCTGCCCTGACATGAAGTTCTGTCAAATTTGCGCATCTAGAGAAATCAAGGCCACTGTAGTTGATACATTGCCTGCGCCCGAGCTACGCGAATATCATCAGATCAACTTGGACGCGGAGCCCTGCCTTTTTCTTGATTGCGGCCACATATTTACAGTATCGAGTATGGACAGATCGTTGGGAATAGTAGGCAGTTGTCGAAATGCCGAGAATACCTCTATTGTCAGCCATGCTTCGACGGGATCTTTCTCGGATGATATGATTTGTTCCTGCCCACATTGCAGAGGAAGCTTGCGAAATATCTCACGATATGGGATGATTGTTCGTCAGACTTTACTGACAGAGTCAACTAAGAAATTTATTATCTGGTCTCATACCCAGTCGATGGAACTGGAACGACAACTTATTGACGAGGAGGAGAAACTTATAACTCTCAAGAAATCTGACCGCCTTCAAGAGTCGATTAGCAGAGCAGGCAACGACTTTTACGTCAACGGAAGCCCTATCGATCAATTACTTGCTATTCACGACTGGGTTGGACATGATCGGTATAAGTCAATCATTGACCTTTATTTTACTATATTTGAATACGTCGATCGTGTTACGGCTATGGAGAAGTCATACCGCCAAGTGTATGATCTTATGGAAAACACCAATCAGGTTGATCATTCCACCGACAAGTCTAAGTTGATTTCTTCATATGTACACACGCGTGGCCAGGTCACCGCTCATATTTCTCTATTCCGGTGTTATTTAGTAGTCATAAGCGACTTTCTACATTTGAGAAGTCTGACTCGATGTCGCACAATCGTGAAGTTTAACCTCAAAAAGGCATTTGAGGAGTGCAAGCGGCTAGCTGAGCTCGCACACGAGGCAAAGTGTGTTCTACAAGAGGCTGAGGGCCATATTTTCTACTCAAAACTTTTTGCCCTCGCTCAACAAGCGAACCGTACTGTAGAGCCTGGTAATTCGAGCGGAGATGAGACCAATGTGAGCAACGCGCAACAGCATCTTTCCAAGGCAGAGGCCCTTATTCTCGAGTTACCATCAGCTGCACATCTACGAAAGGAGATTGACGCCGTAAGAAGAATGTTGATTGATGACATTTTCTTCCGTGGTTTCTCGGTAGAAGAAAGGCGTGCCAGTTGGAAAGCAATGGCTGAAGAAGTTGAGGGAGTTGATCACTGAAGTTCAACCTTCATTCATTATTGCATTCAAGGTTTTTCTAAAATTAGCATTGAATGTTGGCTATTGTAACCTGAGCTATATGTACACTAGCAAGAACAGATCTCTATGTCCAGTTATAATTCTTGGCATCTGGTAATCAACCCCTAATTAAGATTTGTGGGTCTAGATGACAAAAAGTCTCTTTTTTAGTCTTGAATTGATTGTAACTACCAGGTAGCTTATAAAAACCATGCTTGGATTCTTAAGTCTTTGCTGCAACACGTCTTAAGAGATAGGTAATGAAACGTTAACTCGCAAGTCTAATGTAACATTCTATCTACCGTTCGTAAGCCCAGCCATGCAATTTTCTATATCTATTAATTTTACTATCTTTCGGTTGGCCCACGCGCATTACGTTGAGAATACGAACGGCTAAAGAGTAAATATAACCTTGCCAATACCTACCTATGTAAATACTGTGCCCGTTCCTTCAAAAGACTCACGAGAATTTATAATGTTCGATTGAATCCAAAACGGACAAGAGGTACCGAGGTATATATCTTAGGTACCTACCTAGCTATCTTAGTAGATAAGCCACAAAATGGTATCCATAATATACTAACTACGGTGGACTATTAGTCCAACTGTGCCAAAATCAACAAAATAGGTGGGAGCTTTCCAAAAAGGGTAATTTAATAAGCAACGCTAGGTGCACAGTATCCCGAAATACCTGAGATATAAGACTTTTTATATTATTATTATTTTTATTATATATACATAACACGATATATACTCAAATAACTTTATGAATATGACGTTTCAAGTATTATAGTTGGTATCATTTTATAGCCTTAATCAATGCGAAAATAACAATCCAAGTTGCATGTTTATAAGATACATATTGAATAGTTGGCTTGTTGAAATATCTGCGGCTTTTTCAAGATGTTAATCTTGAAGGGTATCACGTGTTAGCCTTTCAACACCTATTTGATATTAATACTAGTATGATATGCCAGCCTAAAGAAATATACAGATGCAACTTGGATTGAAATTTTCGCATTAATTAAAGCTACAAAACGATACCAATTATAACTTTAAAGACGATATATTCGTAAAGTTATTTAAATGTATAAATTATATCATATACGTTTATGTATTTCGTATATATTTAAGGTTAAAGTACAAGTTAAATCTAATTGGTTGATATATAAAGAGGTAAACCGTACCTGATATATAAATCATAAATATCTTTACAAATATATGTTCAAATCTTTTATATAAAATATTAAAATTTTATTTAGAAAATTACGAAAATTATAGTCTAAGTCTCATATGATTTGACCTTGGATTCGTAAGGTTATTAGAGTATAAAAGGTATATATTACCTTATAAGTTGTGTATATAGTAGAAATACCCGACTTATACTGTACTTCCAATGTTACTATTACCTTATTAGATATAGTGCGACCGACTTTCTTGATTTTGGCACAGTTGGACTAATAGTCCACCGTACTAGCCACAAATTATATGATTAGGTATAATGACGGGACTGAGATCACCGTGACTGCGTGGCTTGGCAAACTGCCCGATTGTGGCAACTTTGTAATATTAAAATCCTCGTCTAATCTACAATCGAAATCTCGACGTCATCGAATCGAGAACACAAGCTTGAATCCTTGAGCATATTCGTTAACCCTTCTCCAATAGCATCTCATCATGTCGACTATTAGTCTTACGACAACGCTAACTTTTAGTTCCGGGTCAAGATCCATTAGCGATCGGTCTCGACCTCGGGCATCTCCGCTCGGCGCTAAGAACGACGCCACGAGAAAATCAAGACTGATGAGTTCTTTGGATCGGTAGTTGATACTACTTTTAAGATTATTCTTAATGTCCTACATACAAACATGACTGCGGCTGGCGTCGCGACGAGGCGTACCTCCAGTGTCAGCACCACAGAGTTGGCTAGACAGCGAGACCTTCATAAATATTATCAGCCATGGCTCGACTCCAAGAAGTTAAAAACTGTACCTGCGAATACGGGCCCGGATGAGACCCGAGAAGTACAATGTTCTCACGATACTACTCTGACTGCGCTTGCTCAGCTGGCTGCGTTGAGGTTGAACGTCAAACGCGCTATGGTATCTTTAATAGACGCCAACACGCAAATCATTCTCGCAGAAGCCACACAAACTTTGTCACTCATTGATGAGAGACGGCACGCTCCTGGGGATCACATATGGCTCGGTCATGTGTCCCTTCCGCGTCATGATTGTATGGACGAACATACCTTTGGATCCATAACTACCTACAAGGATGCCGAAGGTAAAGATGTTGACGTTCCTGCCTTCATCGTGAATGATACTTTAGAGGATGATCGGTTCAAATATTAGTGCTGTCTACACAAGTTTAACGTAGCACTTTTAAAGAAGTACTATATATTAATTAAGAAAATAGGCAATAATTAAGGATTTAATTAGAATATTTCCGTTTAAATATATTTCTTACCAAAAATTAAATAATATTAATTAAAATAATATTTTTAACTATTAAATATAAAAACTTTAAAATTTATTTATTAAAATATTAATTTAATATTATTAACTTTTAAATTTTTTTAAATAATTAAAAAATCTTTATAATTAAAAAATTATTAATTATTACTAAATTTATTTATTTAAAGGTTTATTTCTATTTAAAAGGTTATTTAACCCTTTTAAACCAATTTAAATTATATATTTTGGGGTTAAATTTTTATTAACACTTTTTAAACGCTATAAAAAGGTTTTATTATTATTAATTAAAATAAATTTATTATTTATAATACTTACCTAAACTAATTTAAAATAATTTAAATATATTAATTTACCTGTAATTTTAACATTTAAATTAACTATTAATTTATAATATTTAAAAGTTAATAAAAAAAATTTTAAAAGTAAATATTATTAAAAAAACTTTTTTAAATAATAACATTTAATAATTTTATTAAATTTAACTTTTATAATTTAAATATAACTATATATTATATACAATTTTGGTGTTTAAATTTTAAAAAATATATTAATTTTGTTTAATATAGCCTTAAATAGTTTTTAATTTTTATTTAATTTATAAATAATATATTTTACGATTAATATTTAACTACTTAAAAAATCCTCTTTTAAACCAATAGATTTATTAAATATAATTATATTAAAACTATTTAAATTTAATTTATTATATATATTTAAAGCCGTTTTTATACATTTTATATAAATAAAATATTTTTTTATAAGTATATTTTTAGGTATAAACATTTTTAACCCTTTTATTAACTATATTACTAATTTATTATAGGAGAAATAATTTATAATATTATTTTATACGTTACTACTATTTTTTACAACACTATTATTATTATTTTTACCTTTTTATAATTAGGTTAAATTTAAATTAAAATTATTAAATTTATAACTTTAAATAACTAATAACTTATTATTTATATTTCCAACATTATTATTACCTTATAAAAATAATAATAAAATATTACTTTAAATTATTTAATAACTTATAAAATTATTATATAATATTAATAAATTTATAAGTTTACTTTATAACGTTAAAATTATAAAAACATACCTATAATTAATATATACTAAATATTTATTAAAAAAAGCCTATTATATTATATTTAATATATTAATTTTTAATAATAAAATTTAAATATTAAAAATAAATTATAATTAAAAAAAATAATATATTTTAAATTAAATTAAAAAAGTTAAAACTTTTTCTATTATTAAAAAACGTTACTTTTTTAACAATTATCCCTTTTATATAAAATTAAATTATAATAGGCGTAAAATAAAGGTAAAATTATATATATTAATATATACGTTTAAAATAACGTATATATTTCTTTTAATAATTAAAACCTTTATTATACCTATTATTTTTTTTATTTATATTATTAACTTTTTATAATTATTAATAAAAAATTAAATATTACTATTATAATATAGGATTAATTTAAATAATTAAAAAATATTATCTTTAAAATAATAATATTATTTATTAATTAATTTAAATACCTATATTTTATAATAATTTTTTTTAATTTTTCGGGAAAATCTTTAAAAAAAAAAACCAAACCTAAACCTTCCCTTTTAATAATAATAATATAAAATAAAATCTTATAATAACTATATTATTTTAAAATTATTAATAATAATTTCTAAATTTACTATTTTTTATATTTAAAAAAGAAACAAGTAAATTTTAATTTAAAAAAAAAGTAATAAAAGAACTTACTTCTATTAATTTTCTTTTTAATATATTAATAAAACGTTTATTAATTAATAATTATATAATATTTAATAAAATATAATTTTATATAAATTTTATTTCTTTATATTAATTTATATAAAAAATAAAATTTTATTAAAAATTTAACTATCTCAAAAAATACTTTACTACTTAATTTTAAAAATCTAATAGTATATTTTTAAATTTACCCTTAAATAGTTAAATAATTTAATTGATTAATGTTTCTTTCTTATTTAAAATTATTAAACTACCATTATTCCTATAAAATAAATTATTAAAAATGTTTTTAATTAAAAAAACTTTTTGTAAACTTTACTTCTTCAGTTTAAACATACTTACTATTACTATTATTATTATTATTACTATTACTAATAGTAGTAATAATAATAATAACGTTATAACTAAAATAATTTATAAACATAATATTTAAAATATATTTAATTTCGATAAAAAAAATATTCCGTTATATATATTTATTAATAATTACATATATTATAAAATACGTTTATATAATTAACAAATATATAACTTTTTAAACTATATAAAAAATAGCTTAAAAAGTCTACGTTTATGTTGTTATTTTCTTGCGTTTTTTTTACAATAATACTTTTCCTTTATTAAATTTCTTTTCTTACTACTAACTTAAAAAAAATAACCGCTATATTAATTATACCAAACCTTTTTTAATTATTAACTAACGAGGTAATTATAAA